ACAGTGCAACTTTGCTGTGTAAGGAAAAACATAAAAAAGATATTTCTTTCTTTTTTATGTTTATTAATTGATGGCATGACTAGTACAGTTTGTCTAAGTATTAAAAAGAAATAAAAAAAAGATAAATGATAAAAAGAAAAGAATAAAAAAGGAAATAAATAAATAAATAAATATATAAATATATTTATTATTTATCTTACCTGCTGTGTTGGCAGAGCACTCGATGTAGAAACATCGAGGAGACTAGACACAGAATCACTGCGAACGTCCTGATTTATAACAAACACACACTTCTAGGGTTTAGGGTTTAGGGTTTAGGGTTTATAGTACACTTAGAGGTTCTAGGGTTTAGGGTTTAGGGTTTATAGTACACTTAGAGGTTTCATGGTTTAGGGTTTAGGGTTTAGGGTTTAGACATTATAGTTCATTTAAAAGTCTTTTGTTTTAGATGTTTTAGGGTTTAGGGTTTAGGCATTATAGTTCATCTACAAGTTTTAGGGTTTAGGGTTTAGGGTTTAGGGTTTAGGGTTTAGGGTTTATAGAGACCTGGCGCCTTCCTGATTTTGTCTTAGAAGAGCCCTTCTTATTTTATCTCTTTCTTGTAGACTTTCTCTATAACATCTGTCGCTTTGTCTTTTCTGTATATAATAAATAATTAAGACAATAAATTAAGACAATAAGATGGGGTGTATGTACACCCCAGAGGCAGTACAGCAATGAGTTAAGAAATTAAAAATAAGATATATTTATTTATATACAATAAAAGGAGAAATAATACACACTATTATTGTTATTTATTTCTTTTAATGTTTATTTGCCTATCTGCAAATAGTTATATATATTTGTGTATTGTATTGAAGAGGGAAGAGCAAGCACTTGTTGCATAAAGTAGGTTTACCCATATACATAAACGTATTATATATATGCATTTATATACATAAATCATATATATATACGTATATATGTATATATGTATATGTCTTCTTGTTGTGTGTGTGGTAGTCTTACGAGTTCCCTTGCCTTTATCCTTAGGTCAAGAATGACGGGTAAAACAGAGTGATGACCCCCCATTGATTTCTGTTGGTAGAAATTCTTTTTCCAGGTGTACGTACACCGCCGCGCTACTAAAAAGAATTACAGCCGAGTGGTTCCTTGTGTTCCTTTTCCCTAATCGGAGGGTCAGATAGTGTACAAACCAGAAAATAGGAGTTAAATGACTCTTTAGTTTGCGTAAATAAAGTTAAACGGGTAATCGGTCTAAGAAGATGCAGGAGAAAGCAGAAGAAAACAGGAAAAATGAGCTATGACGACACTCGTTTCGGCAGCAGGAAGGAAGGAGTAAGAAACCGCCCTCTTCTTCTTGCGCTAATGCAGCAATTATTAACTCTTTTTTAAAAAACTGTCAAAAACTATATTATTTACATTGAAAGAAGCTACAAATGTACTGTATTAAGTGCTTCCTTCCGCTGTCGTTATCAAGCAGTGACTTGCCGCCGGCGACTGCTGAGGTGTCTGTACACCTCACCACCAACCACAGACCGCCGCGCCTGCATGCTGTCGTCTGCTGCTCATGTTCGTTATTTATTCATTGTAATATTCTCTTTTTATATTGTTTTCAATATTTTCGTGGAAGTAACAAGACGAAGGAGTTGCATTTTGCGTTAGCCCTTCTCTACCCTGCCTGCGGGGCCCCCCATGGGATGTGCAGCTCGTGAAAACGGGGGAAACTTAACTTAGTTTTCGTTTATTTGTTTTAATTAATAATTTGAATTGTACATTTCTTTGCTTTGCTCCTTTTAACAACCGCCTGGAGAGGAGAGAAAGGACCCCATGCATAGTAATAGGGGCCCCTTTAGCCTTCCCTGCCTTTCCTTTTCTAATTAAAGGAATGATATGGGGGTCGTTCATCCTCCCACGACACCTCAGCATTCTTCAGCTCTTGCTGCTTTTGCTGGTGTGGCTGTCAGCTTTGGAGTCAATCCCCTTCTGCCAGACTAGGAGCCTCACCTGCCGCCACAAGCTGCCTCTGCAGCTGCAAGTGCAGCTGCAGCAGCAACTGCAGCAGCAGCCGCAGCAGCAGCAACAGCGTTCCTTCTGCCGAGGAGCAGTTGTTAACGCATGCATTCCTTCTTCTTTCTATCATGCTGCTAGCCAATGGAGTTATTCTTCTCCCTCAATAACAACAAAAGGAAGAAAAATTTCCTTAAGAAGAAATGCAGAAAAAAGACGCCCTCTCCCTCTTCTTGCATTTCAATCCTTTGAGTTAATTAAGGTAAACCTCTTTACACTTTTATTCCTTTTTATTATTATTTGCTGCTGTCTTGTGTCCTTGCTGCAGCAAGCTGCCTGCTTGCTGCAGCAGCAAGCAGACAGCAGCAAGCAGACAGCAGCAGACAGCAGGAGATAGTAATAAGCAGACAGGAGCAACTTATTTATTTATTTATTTATTTATTTTATTTCTTTTTTTATGCATGCAGATATTTGGTAGGTTAGCAGGATCGTCTCCTGTAGGGTCAGCAGTATGCAGCCCTTATGAATCTGCTGCTGCTGCTGCTGCTGCTATTCGTATAAATGAGCAGCAAAGAGAAGAAAAAGAAAAAGAAGGAAGAAGATCATGGTCAGTAGATGAATGGTTATCTCTCTCTTCTCCTTCCTTGTTGCTAAGGAAAACAGGAGAGAAGAAGCGGGGACAGCAGCAGCAGGAAGAAGACCAGCAGCAGCAGCAGCAACAACAACAGCAACAACAGCAGCAGCAGCAGCAGCAGCGCACTTTGCAGCCATGGGAGTTATTGTTTGTATCTAATGATGATGATGATACATCTGCTGCTGTAGGTGTCAATACACCTAAAAATACATCAATTTCTTCCTCTTCTTCTTTTTCTTCCTCTCCTTCTTCTTCTTTTTCTTCTTTTATTCCTTCTTTTATACCATTAAACTTTATTAACTTTTGCATAAATATACAACAATTACCTTTTTCTTGGCCAACAACACGTAACACGGGGCAAAGTCCATGGAATGCCCGTCTAGCTCCTGGTAAGAAAAACATGAATACTCACTATTCAGGTGTACGTACACCTGAACAGCAAATAGATATATAAATAGGTGCTGCCTTCTCTCTGTTGCTGTTGCTGCCTTTGTCGCAGTTACACAAATATGCATGTATTATTTATATAATAAATATTTTTTTTTCTCTTTTTTTCTTCTTTTTTCTCCTCCTTTTTCTGTTTGTAGTTGCAAGTGAATTATTACATAGTGCATGCAGACGCATGCGGGGTACAACAGGAAGAAAAGAAGGAAAAATAAATAATCGTTATTCATGGAGGGAAATAAATGACTTTATTAATGCACAAACAATTAGCAAAGAAGCATTAAGTAAGATATTATTATCTATTATATAATAATATAATAATATAATAATATATAGTGTATACTATACAATATTTAATAATATATCTAAATTTATTTATTTATTTATTTATTTATTTATTTATTTATTTATTTATTTATTTATTTATTTGTGCTGGGTGTACAGAGTGCGTCTTTCGTTCATTTCTGTCTGCTGCTGGGGCAAAGAGCGATTGTTTATATAAAGAAGATATCTTAAGGTGTATATGGAGGTTATCTCCTGTTGATGGTAAGTTATATATATATATATATATATATATATATATATATATATAT